TCACTTGGTAGCCCAGGCTGGCCTCGAACTCACAGAGATCCGCCTGGCTCTGCCTCCCGAGTGCTGGGATTAAAGGCGTGCGCCACCACCGCCCGGCTATCTTGGCCACTTCTGTTCTCCAGTTTTCTGCTTCCTTTGATGGTGAAACGTACAAGAGAAAGCCACTCTAGCCCTTTCTGGCAATATTTTTTATTAAACTCATTAGACCCACCCAGGCCTTTGCCTAATCACTCCCAGAAACTTCTTGTGTGCAGATCCCTGATGCTGGAGGTAATGGCTCACAGTTGAGAGGTGGAGGCAGGAGAATCACCATATTGAGGCAGATTAGAATATATAGCAAGACACCCCTCCCACAAACAAACAAAAACAACAACAAAAAAATCAGTAATGATGTCCTCATTGCTAAACATATGGTCCACCTTACTCTATCAAGTAGCAAGGTCACTTCCTCTTTTACTAGGCCTTAAGGACTCAACACAATCCTGCTTTTTAACTTTCTTCCTTGGCAGTTCCTTCACGGCTGTATCAGTCTGCTGATGTTAAAATGCAATCTTCCTGGGCCAGAGAAGTAGCTCAGTGATAGAACACTTGCCTAGAACACACAAGGGTAAAGGTTCTATCCTCAGCAACACAGAGATCTTTATGAAAATGGCTGCCAGTTTTATGTCTTCACTCTGGATCTTTCTCAAACTCCAGACTACTATCTCTCTTTGTTTCTCGTTGACTTAAGATGTCATATCTACTTTTTGAATGTTCAAAGGCTTATATAACTAAGCCTTCTTCCACAGTATCTTTCCCACCTCAGGTAATGGTAGTCTTTATTCTTGTTGCTTTGGCCCCAAACCTTGACAGTTCTGTTTTTATACCACGTTCAGTCTGTCAGTAAACTGGCTGTCTTCCCCTCACTTCCACTGCCCTTGTCCAAACCATTCCGATTGGACTGGCCTCCCAATTCCTCTCCTAAGTGTTCTCCATACACAACAAATGGATCCCATTCCTCTTCTGCTCAAACCTCGGAGGGCTCTCAGGAGTGTTCGAATGGCTTTCAAAGCTGTAAATGATCCACAGTGGTTAAACTCCTGATGGCACCTCCTTCTAGTCTATCCATATTCACGTCTCTATCCACACTAGCTACCTCTGTATTCTGTATACCAAGTATGCCCTGCCTTCAGACTCTCCACCCAGTTCTTCTCTTAGTCACTTGGATGTCTCATTCTTCCCCTCTTTCAAGTTTTTATTTATCTCCATAAGGCCGAGTGATCATCACATTTAAATTTCACACTTCCGGTCAACGACCCTTTTTCTCCTCATAGCAGTTACATTTTTAAATGTATAATATTCTACTTATAAAATATTGTATCTTCTCACTAGCTTATAAATCCCATGAAATGGATTTCTCTTCAGTACTGTTTCTAACATCAGTTCTGTAAAAAGACCAATATTTGTCAATGGCTGAATAGTCAAATGAGCTCTTATCAGATGCTTATAATTTAAGGTCATTCAAAACCAATCTGAGTAGTGACAAACAGCCCAGGAAGCCACAATGAGTCCAATCATAGGATGTCAGGATAGAGGACCTCTTAAGGGTTCTCTAAAGCAGGCAAACTGCAAACATGTCCTTTACACTCTGTGTGTCATATTTAGTGCTTTGTGAAAGGGCCTGTGCCGTAGCCACATCACCTTTGGAGTTCCTACAAGCCCGTGGAGTAGTGAGTCATTCATTCATGGACTCAGTGGTGGAAGCAGGGTAAACAGGCCTGCCCTCAGCGCCTGCTTGCCCTGTCACAGTGAATCAATCCTCCATCTCGAGTTACTAAGGTAGTGAAACCAGCTACTAAACAGTTGGTAGTTTTTCTTGCCTCCACTAATTCTCAAAGGTCCCGGAAGATTAGCATGGCCATAAACTGCTTTTCTGAAATCGTATTCTGTCCAAGGTGGAAAAAGGCCGGCTCAGGTGAGGACCTAACCGCCCTCCTCTGTGGTGACCTAGCATTTACCTTTTTGGATGATAAAGTAAAAAGGTGAATGAATCTCTTGATTAACGTTCAGAATTAACATTTGAAGAGCAAAATCAAAATCTCTAATTTCAGTGTTAGTATTACAGTTAGTAAACCTGATTACCTAGAGTACATTCAATAATGCATGCTGGGAATCAGCATTTCCGGCATCCCTGATGGCATTCCTCCAAAGGAACGGAGTCTTAGTCCCAGTCACATACGGACATTTTGCCTAATCCTCACTTGCCTTGTTTCTTTCTTTTCTTTTTCTTGTGGTTCGGGGGATGAAACTGGGCCTCACACATGCTAGGCGAGCCCCTACCACTGAGCTACAACCCACCTCCTTTTATATTCTGAGATAGGTGCTAGGATGGCCTTGAACTCACTGTGGCCCAAGTATTCCATGAACTCTTAATCATCCTGACTCGGTCTCTTGAGTAGCTGGTATCAAAGACCAGTACCGCCAGGTCTGGCTTACCTTTATTTAAAAATAACTGGACTGAATCTAATAATCTTTAAATATTTTTGTTTTGTATTATACCTTGAGTGAGCCTATGTTTGCCCAGTTCTTTAGTTACCTTAAGCTCTTTTTGTGCCAAACTGAAAAGGACTTGTCAAGTTGATCTTCCCGACACTAGCTGGTCCCAGCAGCAGCCACCTGACAGGGACCTGCAACACCCAAGCACATTCTTTTAGAAATACAATTGCCCTCTGAAACTTCATCCTGTGAATCCTCAAAGGCCACATTACTAATGTCTAGCCCAAGCCTCCCTGTTACAATAATAGGATCTGACACTCAACTTACTGTATCCTTTTTAACTTGTTACAGGAAATAGTGTCCTCAGAGGAAGACTATGATAAGATGTCAAGTACTTCTCTATGAAGGTATACGCTAAATTAGAATCACTAACACCTTCAAAATACTGCTCTCTAAAGTAAATGCATGCAAAAACAATACACTGTGGGCTATGTAAGGCATTTTTCTTTATTATTTTTCAATTTATCTTAGTAATGCCAGAAAAATAACAGCCATTATTTTCACTTTTAACACAGACCAAATACTGCTGCACATAGAGTACAAAGATTACCTACAAACATGGTTAGGTACAAAGGCCATTAGATGGATGTATAGAGCACACTTCATTCTTACATCAAAGTAAGACTGACAGCATTTTTGACAAATATTTTAGCAAATAACCGTGCTACTAAACAAAGGCAAATACACATATCTACACAGACACATCTCAACTAAAATTATACATGTCACTTTGACAAACAAATTTTCTGGTGGTTTCACCAGATATTTGCGCCCCCAAGTCCCCTGCCCTATTCCGCCCCCAAATGCTGACTTCATCTGAAAAAAAAAAATTAGAGATGTTCTTAATTAAAGGCACATCTGGCAGCTACTGAAAGTGGCATGCATCAGCCATGGGTGCACTCTAAGCCACACCACACAGAACCTGCATCTTTTGTACGTCTTGCTTTGTTGAGTGATAATCCAATGTGACCCACATTTAGCTAACTTGCTTTATACTTTTTCAGCAACTGGCTACTTAATGCACTATTTTTCTTAAAGGCAAAAGGGAAGTTTGCTCACAGTTGACAGAAAATGCACTTTATGGTGTCAAAAATGGAAAATAAGGCATGGAACTTACAAGTTTTTGTTTAGATTTATTATGTAGACTTCATGCTTTTTTTTTTTTTCTTAATTAGAACACAGAATACCTCACTGGCTCATGTATAAGGGACTATGAAATCATTTTAAAAGTTAGTACTGTTTCAAAAGAAAAAAAATTGAATCAAGTCATCCCTTTCCTTTGCATCCTACTGCCTAATTCTCTCAGCCAAACTGACAGGAACCTCATGACGTGTATTGACTGGTAAAGATGAACGTGCAATACACAGAGCCTGCACCTGCACACGGGTGCCATGGTAGAGATGGTTAGAGCATGCCAACCTGCCGAGCAGAGAACACCAGGAAATAAGTGCGCGTCTTGGTTTTGAATCTGAAGAGAGGATAAGAAAGGTTTTCCTCTGTATGTACTCCAGCTGGGACAGCATCCCCATTTATCTATCTGAGCCACTAAATACCCCTAATTTAGGCCATTATATTAAGATAAGTAAATAACATGTGAGCAAAATTTAATTACATGATCATTATGATAAATACCACTTTGGGTTTGCATTAAGGAAGAATTTGGAATCATAGTATAGCCTCCAACTTAAATAGTACTTTAGTAGAATGATCCACTGATTGTGTTTATTTGGCGTACTCTTGGCTCAACTCAGATCCATTCAAACATCCTTGAGTCAGAGAATAGTAACCTACTAAACTCACAGTTGGATGCCTAACAGCCTTTATTTAAGCAAGAAATTTTAATTGGGCAGACTTTGATTATTTGTCATAAGTAATCTTCAACACATTTGAAAGTGTAGAAAGAATAGATAGCCCGTCTTTTCATAAATTTAGAACATGCACTTGTCTGTTCTGTTTCTAAAGTGCTTAGCTGTGAAAACCATCTCTGTTATTGGTGATGAGCCCATCAAGAGAAACTCCCTTTGCGGACACGTTGTGTTCTGGAGGAAATGTCCTATATTTGCGGATGGAGTGAAGCAAGTTTTGCCGCCCTGGCTGCCTCCTTATGTCCTGGATTCAGATGCAGTTCTGTGATGGGGTGTTTGTCTTCGGCCACTTCTTGTCCCCAAAAATGGACATTTGAGTTATGACTAAGGATACAGCTTTCTCACCTTCACTTTAGGGCAGCCAATGAGAACTTTTAAACTCACTTCCTGTCACAGAAAATATTTTTGCCCAAATGTCATATTTGAGAATAAAAATATCCTTCATCCGTGATGCATGTAAAATGGCTGCATGGTGAAGTGGTCCACTAGAACAGTTGGGTAGAGAACAGTTCCCATTGGGAGAAATAGAATTAACTCCAAATCTGAGCGTTCCCTCCTCCCTTGTGTTGGCTCAAGTGGGGTGAAAGGGGTCACCACCCTATTGAAGGCAATACTTGCCAGAGAAACACTGAACGGGTTCTAATGTTGCTTCTCTTAGGTTCTCATTTGAAGTAGGGCCGGGGTAATCAGTAAGCCATGGGAAATTCTAGGGACAGTTAGGCTGGTCTAATGAGTCATGGGAGATTTGGGGGTGTCATTACAGTCCTTTGGAGCAGCATTAGTAAGCAGGCCTAGCTAGCTACTTTTGTTGAATGAATGGTCATTTGTTCAATGAACGGTCTTCTGGACACTTTGCATCCAAGAAGGGATTTGAAATGAACTTTGAGGACACTTTTAAGAGAGAAGACATTTCACAAAGAGAAATGGCCACCATAATAGGAATGTTACAGACACTAAGTGACAAGAGTCAACTCTAACAAGTAAACAAGACACTAAGGAAGACTGCTGAATGATGATGCAACTAATGTCCGTCCTTCTTAGGAAACTACACCCTGGACTATTGAGATGTCCATTTAATGTTCTAATAAATATCACAAGGAATTATTAATGTACTACGTTTCCACCAGGATGCAGCATAGTTAACACAATTACTGAACTGCTGCTTCATTATTTTGAGGACACATGCACATACTGATGAATTGATGACTGTAAGAATGGAATACTACACAGTTCACAGAAATAGTGGAGATAATACAACTTTTTCTATTCAAGTTGCATGCATTTCAGTCACAGTATTTGTTAGACTCAGAAGAGCAGTACAAGGCTTCATGGATAAAACACGCAACACTAATGATGCAGGTAGATATTCTCTAAGGAGTAGCTCTGAAAGAACCAAAGACCCTAAGCAAAGTAGAATGATAAACGTTAACAAATATGGTTGCTCAAGAAATTAAAAATCTGCAAGGTTCTGCTTAAAAGATGCCCATCCCATTTTAAGCTAGTATTTCCCTATATTCCAAACGCCAACTTGAGATTTTTCTGTAAGAACTAGACACCCAGGCGTACCGCATGTGCTTTTATGCTTAGTGTTTGTATCTTGTTCAACCCAAAGAAATAAGAATCAATCATTTTCTCCATATAATAATTTAATATATGCCAGCCAAACAAAGTAGTTTATCTTTATTTAATTAAATAAAAACAGACCTGTCAGGTATATTATATAACATTCACTATACACACATGATTTAGGCAATGCAAGGTAATTCTAAGTATGCTGACTACTCAACTATTAGTAAAACATGAATGGTATCAGTGAGGCCCAGAGAATGCTCCTTTTCACATTGGTTGCCTGTATTTCTGTAGTATGGTTAGAGGGACAGCCACGAGCCAGGACATATGTCACCAGTAAACTCCTGTGGGACAAGGGGGGTGGGGGTGGGGATGCCAGTCTAGCATAGAGGAACAGTCTCCTAAGTGTAAATAGTATACTTGACAGTTACGTTTTTAAGAAGTTCTTCTTCCGTCATGTTAATGACATGAAATTTCCTGTTTAAAGGCAACACCACCACATTTTGTTTGTGAGTGGGGTAGGTAGGGAATGTTCTTACAATTGGTATAATTATTCTTAAAATAACAACAATAACAAAAAGTACCTCTTTGGTGAAGCCTCGGTACCCATTCAATTCACTGTAATAATCTGTAAACAGGACTGTAGCACAGTGCTGGCCTTGATTTCAACAAGGTCAGGTACCACAGCCTTTTCTCACAGTCCTCTGAATGATTTTTACGAAAATATTCTAAAGTAGAAGAGTAAAGCAAAGGAAAACAAAGGAGGAGAAGATCCCTGTTGAAGATTTTTTTAAAAGTGCATAATATTTTGAATTACAAAAACTGTCAACATATGGGCCTATTGGACATTAGACTGTTTTCCATCCCTTTAATGATAAAGATTACTTCACAAAGTGAGGACTCTTGCCTATTGGCCAGAAGAGTCCCTTCACGTGATTTCCAGGTGCAATCAGTTGTCCAGTTCCTCTGGATCAGTCTCCACATTCTAAGCTGGACTACTGTCTTATTTTGTAATTACGTATAGGTTAAAATTCATTGTCTTACACTACAACTTGAAGTAGAGTCATTAGTGTTTGGAGTTCTCATGTGAACTCCTCAGTGCTGGCATGTTCAGTGCATCCATTGCCAGCAATGGATTTGGGGCTAGGAAACTACATCCCAGTACAGAGGAAGTACTCAGGAAGAATGGGCGTTCTCCAACAGTGGTGGTCCATCTCTGTGCATGGATGGGTGTGTGTGCTCCCTCTTGTAAGTTTTTGGAGGAAGTTTGGGGATCAGTTGAGAAGTGCTTTGTCGTGGAGGAATAGGAGGCCCAGCAATGGAATGGAGGTCCACTTCCTGTGTCAGCGGTGGTGATGGCAGGTGCCGTCTCGTGCCATGAGGAGAAGGGGTCTGAGGAGGTGGTGGTGTAAACGGGGAAGGGCTGTTTGGGAAGAAGGCATTGCCATGATCACTCTTTTTGCCCAAGGGGGGAGGCTGGAGATGTAATGGTGAGCTTGAGAAAACGTCAGGTGTCCTCACAGGTTCTCGTGGTGGTAACAAAGGAGGGCTCTCAGGAGGGTCAGAGAAAGAGGTCCGGTCTGATAGGGAGTATCTTGGTGAATAGGCTTTTGATGTGGGCTGCCTAGGAGGAATAGCTGGGGGGCTGTCCAAGTGCTTAGACATAATCTAACAAATGAAAAAGAATAGAACATGTGTTAATAACTTAATCTGAAAAATACTATAAATGTATTAAGAATTAACTTGGAATTTTCAGACACGTTAGTGGCAGAACACTGTGTACAGAACAGGGAGTTTTATCGTATGTATTGAGATGTTCTACTCATTCTTAGTGGGAAAAAAACCCCAACAATGCAATTTTGTCAAAATTAAGTAAAAGGTTTGTTGTTTACTACTGGCTGCCTATCATACAGTGCACTATGATTTCTGATTTAGCATAAATTACCTATTCGTTTTTTGGCAGTGTACACATTAGGCAAATGAACTACCATAGCCCTAATTATTAAGTTTTAAATGTACTGTATTAATGTTTCATGAAATCTACAAGGCCTTGACTTATCCTGGTACTTCTGTTCGCTGGGTAGCTTAAGACCAAATAAACTGATAACTGTCAAAATAAAACAAATGATAAGGGGGGCCGGCATGGGATTTAAACCAGTAGGAAATTTAGTTAGCATGAGTCTTTAAGATCTCTTCTAACCTAGAATTTAAGTTCCTTCTTATTTGGCTCAGAGAATGGCTTTCATCAGATACCCAGTATGGTTTCATTTATCACATACCTGCACACAAACTCCATGCTGCACCCCAACTCCACCCCACCCCCAGTCCTAAGTTTTAAAACAAGTGCATGAGGGCTGGAGAAATGTTTTAGCTGTTGAAGACTAGGCTCACAAGCAAAATATACTATTGCCTTGTAGATTAAGATTTGTTTTTTCCTTACACTCACAGCTATAAACGTACAGGAGTTTGGTGTGCACACTCAAACGCTACCTTTATAAGAAGAAACAAACATCTTGCATGCTAAATTTATATGTAATCTTTAAACTATTAAACCCAGATACTCTGAGATGTGAGCTTATCCCAGTAAGATAGACCTGACCTACACAACTGACTGCAGCTAGTGATTCCAATTTCTAGATAACAAGGTGTTCCACTTTACCTTAGATGGGGAGGACTCTGCTGGGGCAGACTCCTGCCGTCTTCGAGGGGGGACAGGAGGGGGGACAGGCATTTCATCAGTGCCCTTGGCTAAACTTATAGATGAGACTGAAGAGGATCCTGCAGGGTGTGATTTAAAAAACAAACAAACAAAACAGGATTATAGGACTTTTATTTCACTTGTTACTCCTGAAAACTTAGATGGAAACTGCTTGTACTGACTAAAAACAAATTTGTTGAAGTGTCAAAAGCAGTTTAATAAACAAATACCCAATACTATTCCATTTATTAAAATAAACTGCTATAAAAGCATGCAGCAGTTTCCTATCAATTTTTTTTAAAAAGAAAAAGCCACCTAAAATCATTATTTTTTTCTTAAACAAAGTAACATTACCATTGTTAGTCTATAACTGGAATTTTTTATTAGGTCTAATTTTCAGATTTCTGTTGGAAAGGTAATCTGAAAACCTTTGGAATGGTCATTTTTGTCAAACTGGTAGGTTCATCTTTTTCTCTAGTTTTATTGCTCTCAAGGGGCTACGCTGGACTGAACAGTTTCTGAGCGTGACAGCTCCATTGAAGCATCCTGTACAGGATGTACAGGAGAGGATCTGGTGCCCTCAAGGTCTATTCACAGTTTGCTTGGGTCCAGACTCTCCTTAACATGTAAACAAAATTAGAATCATCACATCTAATCCAAAAAAACTTTAACCATGATGAAACTGTTCAAGATGCCAGGGGGCAGGGAGTGTGCTGGTAATGAAAACAGGACTGTACTAAGTAAGATACAGTAAACCTGATTGAAGAAGAAGTTGATGAAATGACACAAGATGTAAATAAAACTAGAACCCATCTCATGAACATTTAGTGAATAAGTATGCTATGAACGACACTGTATCTACTGTTAGTCTATAAACACTGTAAAAAGATAGGAACCTATTTAAACATTCAAAACTGTACTTGGCGGCTCTTTTTACTCCTTTAAGCATCATGTTTGCTCCTGCCATCAACTATTATAACACTACAGAATGTAGAGAGGACTTTGTGCACTTATATTCAAATGGTCGACACTGTACATCTGCCTGTGTGTGTGTGTGTGTGTGTGTGCGTGTGTGTGTGTGTGTGTGTGTGTGTGCGCGCGCGCGCGCACACACACACACACACACACACATGTTTGCAGGCCAGAAGTCAGTGTTGGGTACCTTCCTCTATTACCATCTTCTTTATTTTTTGAGACAGGGTCTCTCACTCAACCTGGAGCTCACTGATTGGCTATGCTGGCTGGCCAGAGAGCTCCTGGGATTGGTCTTTGACCCTCACCCCAACTTTCCAGCACTGGGATTTTAAGCATGTGACACTGTGCCAAGCTTTTGTGTGGATTTAGGGGATCCAAAGTCAGGTCTTCATGGTTGCATAGCAAACACTGCCCACTGAGCCATCTCCCCAGACCAGGACCAAAATCTGGTCACCTACTTTCTTAAGAAAATATATTTAGCTCATAACTGGTATTTTTTATTGTATGTATTTTGAAATCATTTGTACAAAGAGTAAAGCCATTGATTTGTTAGTTTAAAACAACTAAAAACAGTAGAATTTATGGTGAATTGTTAGTTTAGTTTAGAACTGAAAGCAATTATCTACAATGGTACTTGATTTTACCTAAATATTTTGAACTTGCAACTAGTTGTAACGAAAGGTCGTCCTTACAAAGTTACATGCAGTTATTTGCCTGCACTCTATGCTGTCAGCAGGCTAAGTGTTCTCTGTGACTGAACAGTGCATGGAGCTGCCAGCTTCCTTCCCCACTGCGCATGCAGACTCTTGCTTCTTTGTTAAAGCTGAGAAGTATCTTCAGAATTGTACAGTTGGAAAAGAGAAATGGTTAAATGTGGAAGCTGCTCACTTGATAGGTTCTTTTAAGAACAAAAGGTTTTGTACAAAGCACGAAAAGTCTATAAATTTAAGCCAAGTGTTTATGATCACAAGACAGCAGCAGCGAAGCCTCACTTCTAAGATGGGGCAGGCAAGGAGTCAGCAGGGGGGACCCTCAGCCTGCTTTTAAAGCCAGAGCAAGAGTTAGGTATCAAATCAGATGTACTGACTTGGGCCATGGGGCAGTGTAACCTGGGTAAAGACAGTATCGCCGCCTGTGAAAAGGAAACAGTTGTTTTCTCCCATGAATATTCTCATCTCTAAAAATGTATGTATGATGATAATGCTGTTCTTGCTGTGTTAGTTTGAAAGAACATCATAAATATTTTTAGGAAAAACTCATTAATACTTTTGAGAAGAAAAAAAGGAGTTACTATCATACTGAGAATTTGAGAGTTTCTTACTCCTTAATGTCATAATATAAATGAAAACCATTCATTAGAAAACAAACTGATGCTCTATTATTAGAAGACTTTTTCACTTGAAGAGGACAGGATCCAGCTTGCAGGAGTCAGTTTCCTCTTCCACCGTGAGGACTCCGGGGTCTGAATGGAACTTGTCAGGTTTGGTGGCAAGCATCTTAACCCGCTGAGCTAGCTCACCCCCCCCCCCCCAAGTGCTGTGAACTGTAAAACTCAGCCAGGTAGTGAAGACTCAAATCATTTACCAGAGATTAAAGGGAGTGTCCGACAAATATTATCATATACCTTTGAAAATATGTTTTTGGAGCATATATTGTCATTATAAAACATTCAGAGTTTTGAATATTAAAACAAGCTTTTATATTCATAAACACTGAAAAAATTCAGTATATGTTTGGTTCTTACATACTTTTTAATTTAGGAAATCCCTTGATAAATTCAGAATACCTAATTTCAAAAATATTAATTCTTTTAAGAAAAATTAATGCCTCAATTAATTTGTTTAACAATGTTATTAATAATTAAGGTCTTAAATTTTTCTTAAAACATAAAAACCAAACAAACATTGAAACAGTGGTTCTCCCCTTCTAACGCTGCACCCTTTACACAGTTCCTCCTGCTGTGCTGACCCCAACCATACAATTTCTGTTGCTACTTCAGAACTGTAATTTTGCTACTGTTATGAATTGTAATGTAAATAATTATTTTGGAGATGGAGGTTTGTGAAAGGGGTCTTGATCCACAAGTTGAAAAGCACTGCATTAAAATGTAGGAAAATAGGGCTAGAATACTGAGGCTAGTTCTAAATCATCGCTGCTACACTACTTCATTACCAACACATGGAAGAGAAAATAATCCAGTGGCTAAAATAATACTTGCAGTACTACACTGACCTGATTATTTAAAAAAATTCAGATTTCCCCTTCACTTCTTTATTTTTAATTCTGTAGTTTCTTTTATTATTATTATTATTATTATTATTATTATTATTGTTCATGGGTGTTTTGCCTGCATGTATGTCTCTGTGAGGGTGTAGGATCCCCTGGAACTGGGGTTACAGACAGGTGTGAGCTGTCTTGTGGGTGCTGGGAATTGAACCCTGGTCCTCTGGAAGAGCAACCAGTGCTCTTAACCACTGAGCCATCTCTGCAGCCCCGCCTTTTACTTATTTTTATACAATAAGCAGTAACTCAGTAACTGATCTGGGAGATTGTTCCAGTGTGTGGTCAGGAGGAGGGTAACTGATGCTGACTCTTGCTAACTTGATTGCCTTCCTAAGCCAGTGTCATTTCACACTATTTCCTTGTTATGTGTGTAAGGAAGGAGCAATGTAGCATCTTCTAGTAAGCAGATGAAAACGCTGTTGTTCTGATTTTCTTTAAGTACTTCTGAGGAACTAGAGGAGAGGTCAAGGGAAGTATGTAGCTTTAGTATCAATCTACTTTCATACTTCTCACTTTTATTTTCTTTGAAATACTTATTTTAATTGTGTATGTGTGTGCACACCATGTATGTGCATGTTGGAGCCTGTAGAGGCCAGAAGAGGGCATTAGGTTCCTTGGGACTAGAGTTTCAGGATTATGAGCTGCCTTTTGGGTACTGGGAACTGGATGCAGGTTCTCTAGCCAGAGCAGTAAGTGCTCTTAACCCACGAGCCAGGTCTGCAGCCTCTTAATTTTCTTAAAAAAGAAATAGCATACTTCTTTAGAGATAAGCCTCAAGAAGATTCCAGTCGATAAATTCTGGTCCGCCTTTGCCTTCTGGAGTGTCTGTCAGTAATGGGGCTGACGTATGGGGAGTGGGCTGTCGCAGACAGACGACAGCGGCTACAGGCGCACAGCCCTTCCCCCTGGGACCCCAGTGGGGAGCAACTCAAGGTTCTACAAGCCCACAGCTTTAGCTTTGGATGCGTTTGTCCAAAGCAGGTAGGTGCCTCTAAACAAATAGGCTACAGGTGAAATGGACGGTTTAGCTGAACAGGAGAACAGTTCTATAGTAACTCAAGTTATTTTATTTCAAAATGAGTTCTTTTCAGTTCTTACCAAGGGGAAAGGGAAGAGTAACATTTCTTTTTGATAAGAATCGAGATCCTGAAGTTTAGGATTACAAAGCTTTATCATTCCTTGAACAGGCTCCCCACTTTGTCTAGAACCTTGAGATTCTGATCCATGCCACTGAACAGAATACAGCATGCCAGAATGATGACCTTTCCTTTGACTAATCACTTAGATTGAACACTACTAGAGAAAATGTGTTTATCTGTTTTCTCGCCTCTTCCAGTGTTAGTGACTTAAAATAAGAAAAACAGAATTCACAACTGATAGTTTACATGTGCCTTCAATAATTCAATTATTTGGGTATCCTCATAATATGGAGATAAAGGTATCTCTTCTAGGGAGAAAAACCAGGCAAATAGCTAAGTTTTTAATAATGAATTTTAGTCATTTATTAGTAATTTAATAATGAATTTTAGTCACACAGACAGGAAAATGGTGGGTTTTATTTTAGTAGTTAAGAGCAGAGTCCAGTTGGGTAGATTTTTTTTTTTTTTACTCCGAGTCTATTTGATCTTATCTTACAGCTTCCTATGTGTACAATGTAACTTCATGGTCCTGTGTGTGTAATGTAACTTCATGGTCCTGTGTGTG